TTGAGAAAACCAGGTCCAAGGTATGGCCCTTCTCATGCGTTGGGCCGATGACACATTGAGACAGCCCCATGGTTGTCATGGCGGCCATGAAGTCCTGAGCTGCCCCAGTCAAGGGAGCCTCGGCATGAATGTTGAGGTCCCCCAGCACCAACAGCCTGGGAGTCCTCAACACCAGGTCCGAGACTACCTCCGTCAGCTCAGGCAGGGAGACTGTTGGTACGCAGCAGGGTGGGCGGTACACCAACAGAATCCCTAACCTGTCTCGCGAGCCCAACACACAATACAGGCCCTCGAGACCTCCTCTCAATGAGATAGGAAGCCTGGTCAAGGAGATAGAACTCCTATAGACTATAGCAACTCCCCCTCCCCGACCCTCCGAGCGACCTTGGTGCTGGACTGAGTACTCAGGCGGACACAGCTGGGAGAGGGGAACACCACCCTCCTCTCCCACCCAGGTCTCAGTAACGCACACCAGGTCAGCCCCCTCATCCAGAATTACATCATGGATGAGGGCAGTTTTATTTTGTACTGACCTGGCGTTCATCAACAATATTGTGAGATTACAGTTCCCATCACCTCCAGCTGATTACGAAGGCACTCTCAGGTCTTGTTGTCATGACACAAGCAAAGATCCAACTCAGAGGTTCCAGATATTGGATCCTTAGGCAATGTGAGACTACTGCTCCCATCTTCCCCATCCAGTATGGTCAATAATCAGGGAAGAAACTCTATTGTAACAATACCTGGGACTCAAAGTTAAGACCCATTCTTGTAATATTTTACAGCCCTTAGTTATATCAGATCATTGATGACTCATTAGATTTATACAGTATAGGTAACTGTCTGCATCAATAGTTATAACTAAGTGTAGATCAACAGCAGAAGGATTTAAAAAAGGGAAAAGGGAAGAACATGATGTTGTGGTTTAGCTGTACACACCGATCTTCTCCTTATCTTCATCTTGTGTTCTCTGCATAAAATACATCCCTTGTATCAAGCAAGTGAAGCACATTCTTTTAACAATGCCACACTTTACATGAGAGGACTACTTAAAAATAAAGTGGGATTGCTACATAATCTCATTCTGTAGCTTGACCAACTATGGCCTAAATACACAAGGCTACACCATGGAAAGGCCAAATTCTGCAAGTAAACAGTGTAAGGCTCAATATCAGGCACGGTAGGCTTCCTTATTGCAAGGGAAAGTAAGAATTGGCTTAAGGACTATTTTGTATAGCATTTAACTGCCTTAACTGTAAACTGGACCACCTGAAACATTTTACAACGTTGGTTGGCAACCTGGTACCCTTGAGATGTTTTCCACCATAAATCCTAAAGTCCCTTATCACTGGTCATGCTGTGTGGGGCTTACATGGCTTTCCCCCAAAATATCTGTCGGGCATCGTGCTGCTGATGTAGGGCATCATGCTAACCCTGGGATGAAAATGTTCATCATATCTAAAACTGATTCACTGTACAAACACCTCAGTCGTTCATCAATGCTGTCATCCCATTTGTGTGATGTGACATTAAATCAGTTCTGTTTTATGACACCCCTAGTAGGATTCTTGAAGTATATGAGACATTAAATGAGCAGGTTTGCTAGTGTCACCCCATCTCAGGGAGTTTCCATAGCTAAATGAGGATATGAACCCAAATTTCCTAAATCCTAGTCTGATATTCTATCTGCTCTGCTACATTGGCTCCTGGTGTACAGTAACCCTCTACAGCTGTGGTTCCCAAACTTGGGTAACCCAGATGTTTTTGGACTGCAGTTTCCAGAAGCCTTCCCCACCAACTGTGATGGTTAGGGTTTCTTGGAGTTACAGGAAAACCTGGTTACTCAAGGTTAGGAGCCACAACTCTACAGGGTTGGAAAAGCCCTATGGAGGCTGACTTCTCACTGAACTGCACTGTGCTGCACTGCAAGTGTCACTGCAGAGAAACTGTACAGTACTTGCAATAATAGTATCAGGGAAACCAGTGATACGGAGCAACCTGCAGCTTGTCTGGGGCTGATAAATACTTAGGCTCAATTATATTGAGTGATGATCTGCCTTGCATCACACCACTCCAACTCCTTGAGAGACGTAGTAAAAAAAAGCCAATAATTTGAAGCTTTGCAGTAGCAATTGATAGGGATAGACTTGCAAAAACTGGCTTTAAAACAAATAAATAGAAGAAGGGAGAGGTGCAGAAGGCCTAAGACGTCCTAGGGCTAAAGCATTGTCTCCTAATTGCAGATACCTATGTGCATACTGTACCTGTGAGGGCAAAGCTCTCTACACATAATGAAAGCCATTATGTTCTTTACATGTTAGGGACGAAGCTGTTCTGGAATATGACAAAGTGTGAAATACATATCCACACTACTGTTTAATAAATCTTATGCTAAGAACAGCATAATTGTTCCTGAGAAGAAAAGAAAAGTTAGCCAAAACTTTGAAAACCGCGAAGGTTTATGGCTAACTCTTTGCATTTTATTTATTCATTTTATTTCTTTAGCCAAGGCAGCAGTTGTTGTATATGACCTAGAAGGATGTCAAGGCAGCTGTGGGATGCTTCAAAGCAACCTATCCATGCATGGAGAGGATGAACCTCCCCCTAGACAGAGAGGGATCCTTTTGCAAAAGGGATGCTGTGACCAGAAAGGTGGGAGGCCTTCCCATTCTATGGCTCCTCATCACCACCCATAGTAGTAAGGATCAGAAGAGACTGTCCTGAGGATGTGTCAGGGGAAGATATGAATCCACGGTCCCTTCAGTCTGCTGACCACCCCCACCCCCCAGATTACACCAACCCAAGAGCTGACACAACTAATTCTCTCCTCCTACTTTTAAATCGGAGCAGAAATTTTCTTTTGGAAAACAGAAAGGCAAAATCCATTCCCTTGCCTGAGCATCTGGAAGCCAGCAGGATTCTAAGAACAGCAGAGGCCATGTAGCAGATCTTTCTCTTATAACCCCCACCCCTCACTACTTCCCAGGATTGCTCTGCTCATCATCTTCCCATTGCGAATCTTCTGTATATTATCCTTCATCTCCAACTAACCTATATTCAAGCACCAGAAGTTTAAATCATAGGAAGGCTGACCTTTTTAATGATCAGCCATGGAAAAATCAGGTGTCCTATTTAGGTTAGTCAAGCTTGCCATATTTCACCTCTTTATGTAGTAAAAGCTTAAAGTTTCTCTAGTGTCTGAATAACTTTCCTTTCCTCCTTGCAGTTCAGTACAGGAGAAAATCTACTTTGGAGCATGGCTCAACAGCATTCTTTCCCTTGCCTGTGAAAACAGAAAATGTTTTAGGCAAAAGGAGGCCAAGGGACTGACCTAAGCGCAGTAGCAACCCCTTATCTGTTATTGTCGGATGAGTCTCACCGCTATTTGGACAAGGGCTTCTTCACAAGAATGCTAGAGCAGAATCTGGTCATACACCTTCCCATGTATTTAACAAGTCTTTGGGAGCTCTTCTCCAGCTATGCCTACTTAACAAGATACAACAGGGGAAAAGAGTTTTTTTTTTTTTTTTTTGGTGGTGACACACCAGTTATGGACTTTCCTTCCAAGAAAGACTTAAAGGTAAAGGTAAAGGTTCCCCTTGACATTTTCAATCTAGTCGTGTCCGACTTAAGGGGGCAGTGCTCATCCCGTTTTCAAGCTGTAGAGCCAGTGCTTGTCCGAAGACAGTTTGTGTTGCCACGTGGCCAGCATGACTAGGGAACGCCGTTTTACCTTCCCACCGAAGTGGTACCTATTTATCTACTCGCATTTGCATGCTTTCAAACTGCTAGGTTGACGAGGAGCTGGGACAAAGCGATAGGAGCTCACTCTGTTGCGTGGATTTGATCTTACGGCTGCTGGTCTTCGGACCCTGCAACACAGGCTTCTGCAGCATAGCCCACAGCGCCACCACGTCCCCTCAAGAAAGACGTACAGGGCACTTATACTTTGGTCTTTTCAAAGTCAGCTGAATATATTTTTGTTTTCTAAGGTTTTTAAACTTTTCTGTAAACATCTTTGATGATTTATGGAAGTGTTGATATTAAATAGACTTAAGATGTGTTGGTCTAAGTTTTATTTTATTTTTTAACTTTTCCTGCTCATTGTTACCTTGTGTTAAAACTGTTACTTATCTTTTTGCACAGTATTTCACTCTAAATGTAAAACACCCAGCGAAGTTTTGATTGTGGCCAGAAATTGTATATACTTTATATACAATCAATTATGGAATATATACTATGAGTGAAGGTACAAGGGGAGAAAACCAAGAACAGAATATAAAAATTAACATTATGCTATATGTAATAATACTTACAGTAATGCTTGCAAGTACTTACCGGATATATTAAACCCTCTTCTAAAAACCTCGTACATGGTCCTTGCATCATCATAGTAGTGAGTTAGCAATTGTGAACTCTCGCCAATTACAGATCTCCGTGCACCATCCCAGCCCTACAGTGAAATAATACAGACAAGGAGATCAAATGTCTGTATGGCAAGAGCATGGCTTTTGGAATCTCATTTCAGGTTCTCAGTTACAAAAAACTAGCAATCTTAATGACGGTATGATAAAATGATGCTAAATACTTCTTAGTTCACATACAAATTGAAATGAAACCTACCGGTATATAAACCTAATTTGCTCAGACTACTGCTTTTTATTCTGGCTTTTCCCAGTTCTTTCACCTTGGTCCCAGTCTAAGGTCTCCAAAAGTAGACTCTGAGGTCCTAGGACACAAGAGACTAGCCCTATGTTTGTAAAATGTCTTCTGATTGATAGTATTATGTAAACAGTCAGCTACAATTTGATAGTTGTCAGAATTTCTGTGTTCATATTAATAACTGGTTTGGACAATGAAAAAGGATCTGTGGAACACTGTAACATCAAAATGTATTTGTCAGCTCTTAAAATTAACAACATTTCATTCACTGCCAAACTACACTATCAATGGGGAAAAAGTGCCTTCACAAGTACAGATTCTTCCTATTTAAACTGCAGACCTATGCATGTCTACTCTGCAGTACATCCAACTGAGTTCAATGATACTTACCCTTGGGTGACTATAGAACTGCACAATTAAGTGCAGTCCTATAAATGTGTATACAAAGTTCTCAAGTTGAAAAATCTATTCTGTCTATCTCTCTGTTTTCTTTTTGTGGAATAGGAAAGTTGAGAAAAGTTCTGATATTTATAAAATAAGCAGATCACTAAAACATATCTAAGAGATGAGGAGAGACAGGAGAGCCACAGAATTCATCTTGTGCTAACATTCAGCTCTACAGAAATGCTGTCAACATCTGTAGGAAAAAAATAACCAAAGGTTGAGGCATGCAGCTGTGCAGAAATCAATCTCCTTCCCTCTCCTGCTCCCACCACTGTCTTGCTTTGTGGACAACATGAATGATGCAGAACGACTCATGAAAAATACATTTAATTCCACAGTGAGTGTCTGCAGGGATCGTTTCTTCAGCCAGCAAGAAGAATTTTAAAAACACTAGGTACAAAACATAATGTTCAGAAAAATCAATATGGTAAAATTGGATGCTTCAAATGTTCTGTAATCTCATGCATAAATAGAAACTGTTAGCAAATCATCCTTTTCGTATTGTGCCCAAATGTGTTCCCTTCAAGGCAAATCATTATAAATCCATCTGCTAAATAGCCGCCCAGAGTGGTCGTACAGACCAGATGGGCGGGATATAAATCGAATAAATAAATAAAAAATAAAATTAAGTAAGTAAGTAAGTAAGTAAGTAAGTAAGTAAGTAAGTAAGTAAGTAAGTAAGTAAGTAAGTAAGTAAGTAAGTAAGTAAGTAAGTAAGTAAGTAAGTAAGTAAGTAAGTAAGTAAGTAAGTAAGTAAGTAAGTAAGTAAGTAAGTAAGTAAGTAAAATACATACTTGTGTAATATTCTCATTCAAGGCTTCCATTATTTTACTGAATCAGTGCAAATACACAAAAAACTGGATATATAAATTCACACATATATCCCTAGGGAACCATGGGACATGTCATCACCTCACAGAGTTCTTTTTAGACTAGCAGGTTGATGCAGTGCAGTTTTTCATCTACTTCTTTAGACAGAAGAGTGTAACAAATTGATTCCAACTATTATGTACTATATATTTGAGGAAGTGGATTGCACTCTACAAAAGCTCACACTGAAATAAAACAGTTTGTCTTTAAGGTGCCACAACTCTTTTGTTTCACTTGCTGAAATGGACTAACACTGCTATATCTTTCAAAACAAGTTCTGCTTGCTCAGAAGGGGCCACAGCCTCTGAATCTCCAGTACCTACTAGAAACAGGGTTCACTCCTACTGGTTAATTCATACATCATGTAATTCACTTTGCAACGTGGTGTCCTGGGCTTATTTGCCACAGATTTTGGCTAGTACAATGGTGCCCCGCATAACGATGATAATCTGTCCCATTGAAATTGCTGTTTAGTGAAATTGTCATCATGCGAAAACCCTTTCCCCATTGGAATGCACTGAAACCTGGTTTAATGCGTTCCAATGGGGAAAATACCTCGTCGTCCAGCGAAGATAGCCCATAGGGAAGCCATTTTGCGAGCGCTGATCAGCTGTAAAAATGGCTGCCTTGTGAAACATGGGTCCGGAAAACGCAGGGCAGCCATTTTGCGGAGCCGATGATCAGCGGAAAAAAGTGTCGCCTTGTGAACAAAAGGCACGGGCCTGATCAATGTCCAGCGAAAATCCCCCATTGGAATGACTGTTTTGTGAATCGCTATAGCGATTGAAAAAAGTCATTGTTATGCAGATTTATCATTTAGCAGGGTCGTCGTCTTGCGAGGTACCACTGTATCTTGTACCCCAATCACACAGCATAATATATTTGAAGATGGCGCACTCTGTCCCAGCTTTGCCATTTTCCAGGTTGCAGTTACCTGAGCCAGATATGCCCTCTTGCTTTAAATGGATGTTCCAGTTTAATTACCTTGATTTTGGAGATAACCTTGGATTTAGAAAAATATATATATTAAAAAATTCCTGTTCATCTACACAGCAGATATTTCCATGGAATTAATACTGGGTTTTGTAAATTTATATGGGGTTCCACACCATCTTGAATTTCTATGAAGAGAATGTAGCTTGCATTTACTGCAGGTGGATTGGGGATTTTAGATCTTGGTTTAAATCACCAGGCATATGTGCTAAGCATTACTAATTATTGGAATTATGTTCCACAGTCAAATTATCCATCTTGGGCTCTTTTGGAAATGTCCTATCTGGAGCCTCTCTTCAAGTGGATGGGATTGGTGGACTAAATATGGCAAAATGCATTCTATCCCCCCATCAGTCTCTGAATTATGCACATATTGTCATGACAATTCCAATCTGATCCATTTCCATGTGCTAAATTAATTTTATGTAGTAATCCAGATATTTAAATTGGGAAGAAGCCCTTTTCATAGAGGGTGTGGACAGATGGAACAATTCTTAATTGATTGGACAGGATGACAAGTTTTTGCTATTTCCCTACTTGAGAAGTAAATAAGACTTGCCAACTTCAGCTTAATGGCAGTATTTACAAATGCAGCATCTGTTGGTATCTAAATACAGTGCAACAGCATTGAGTGATTCAGAGTCTCCTGCACTTTTGATATGCTTATTGAATCAGTCCATGACACACAAGGTCTTAGAGATGAATGGAACAAGGAAATGGATTGTTTTATTTTGTCTAAACAATGGAAGACAGCACTTGCCAGTACAGTATACCTAAGATATTTAGAGATCTTAAGCTACGACAGAAGTTCATGTTTAGAATATGCTGGACATAGCAATGTCTTTTTAGGAAGGTTCTGAGCAAACTTTCTAAATGTTGGCACTCTGATTCTCTTGATGCATCTCTTCATGATAGACAGACAGACAGACAGACAGACAGACAGACAGACAGACAGACAGACAGACAGACAGACAGACAGACAGACAGACAGACAGACAGACAGACAGACAGACAGACAGACAGACAGACAGACAGACAGAAAGAAAGAAAGAAAGAAAGAAAGAAAGAAAGAAAGAAAGAATATTGCCCTGTTAGTGCGAATCACTATTTTGAGTGGTTTACAGCAAAATAATAAAACACAACAACAATGAAATTAAAATAAAATCAATCAATAAACAAAATCAGATTCAACAACAGCCATCATTCCAAATATATGGCCATGTCCATTCCTAAGCTAATTTTGGAGAGAAGTTATTACTTGCATTGATTTTGTATTGGACTGATCTTTGTTGATGCTTATGTACTTTTAATTATATATCTGTTTCTTGAAGATTAACCACCAGCCAGCATAGATGGACTCTATACAGCTCCAATAAGAGTGATTTTACTCACTACCATTAATCCAGTGGACAGAAGATCTTACAATATTATTGACATATGTACGAGTGGCATATAGACAAAAAACTACGGCCTGTAGGCCACATCTGGACCACCTTATCTTTTTATCCAGGCTGGCAGTTGATAGTTTGTGGTATACTGGTTGCTCATGCGAGGAAAATCTCCTTTTTGTGCAACTCTTCCACAGCCATCGGAGGAGCAAAGTGTGTGGGATGATGTCAGTGTTATACTATAAACAAGTTGTACATATACATGTATTCTCTGCCCCCCTCCCCCGTCCAGGGAGAAAGCCTGCCAGCTAGGACATCCAGTCCGAGCGTCTCTGAGCAACCGGGCGGTGGCACTGATTGTCTGTGGGTGCGCCCACCGCCATTTTCAAACTGCTCCTGGCACTCTGGTGCCCTCCTTCTCCCCAGGCCACCATTAACCCTTCTTCGCCCGTGATCTCTGGTGACAGAGAAGCCAGAGACGACAAAGACCACCACCATTACCACAATGAGTCTGGTCTCGCCCAGCATGGAGCACAGCCTCTTGGCTGAGAAGCCCCCTCTGAGGAAGAAGGGGAGGCGGTGGGCCCTGGCTCTGAGGCACAATAGCCCCACGAGTGAGGGAGGCCTTGCTTTCCTTATGGAGAGCCTGGCAGGACCAAGCAGGCCGCGGTCCCCTCCTCTGTGGGGCAGTGAGTGACCCCATTCTCCCCCTTTTATCCTGTCTCTCTCGCTCTCTGTGTGAAGGGGCTGCCTTCCTCACAGACAAGAGACCTGTTCTGCCTCATTTTATTTTACCTTATTTTATTTTGTTGTCATTCGCTGCGAAGCACCTCTTTTTCTCAAACAAGAAGGCCCCAAATGAAATGGGCCATAACAACATTCGCCACAGACAAATTACAGGGGATGGGTATGAATGGGGCTTGTTGGGGATGTTTAAAAAGAAGAAGAAGAAGAAGAAGAGGGTATTCAGAATGTATTTATTTATTATCTATAGGTTTGTTTTATTGATAGGTCCTTCAGGGACGCAATCCTGATTGTTCAAAGGTCCTGGAAAACATGAATTGCTGCAGCTGGGGTCTTTTCTATCAGAGAAGTCTGTTCCAGATAGTGAGAGGGCATCAGAGAGGAGACTAGGGCTATAAAGTTAGGGGAATCTTTAATCATCATCATTGTCAACATCATCTTAAAACTGTAAGGCTGGAAGGGACCTTATTGGTCATGGGGTCCAGCCCCTATCAAGGGCACCTGGGGGGATTCAAACTCCCAGCCTTAAGCCAGAGACCTAACTGACTGAGCTATCCAGTAAATCATTAAGGATCATCATCATCTTGGAACTACAGGGCTGGAAGGGACCCCCTGGAATAATAACTTTCCATTTAAGAAAAAAAAAATCACCCCTATAAAGTAAAGAAAAAGGACCCAGGTCCTTTTTTTTAAACTTGATCCATTTGTTCATATTTTTTCAAACTATAGTTTGCCCCCCCCAACAGTCTGAGGGACAATGAACTGGCCCCCTGTTTAAAGTGTTTGAGGACCCCTGTTATAGACACTCGTATTTTGTTTTATTTTTATTTTTCTATATTATAATGTGTTTAGACCTACTGTACCTACATTTTAGATATTATGTTTTTTCTCACTTTTAAATAGTCAATAACATTTCTTTAAAAATAATTTTTTAAAATGGTGTTCCACTTGAGCATGGGGTTGCTGGATTCCCCTTTGCGCAAATGGCAGGGAAGGAAGAGCTGTACAAAGGACAGGCTGTTCTACACTATATTTGTAGGCAGCAACATAGTAGCCTTTGTTTTTTAATAGAAAGCTGGTGAAAATTTGGCTATTTAGACATTGACAGTTTAAGATAAGCGACTAAGGATTGATTTTAGTTTATCTGAGTTTTAGCAGACTGGATCAGTTTGTGCGTTTAATTGTATCCTACTCTCTTTGTGGGCTTTCTGGGACTATGTGACAGGAGAAAAACCATAAACAATTAAAAAGACAAGTTGTTAATCAATATAGGATTTTCTTTTCCTTAATGGTATCAGCTGTAGAGTCAAAGCACAATTTTAAAATGAGCCCTACTGAAGTGAACAGTGTTTGAATTGTTTTTGAAACCACAGGTACCAATGAATTTATTTCTCAAAAATTACTCAGTATTGGAGGCCAGAAGAAAAGATGACTAATACTTGTCATATCAAATCCAACCACATGGCTGCAGTACACATTATCCTGACACCCTTCTCACCCTTTACTCCTACCACTATCCCAACCCATATTAAGGTCAAAATAAAACAAAACAGTACAGTAATATGCCTTGTTTCTTGGCTCAAGTCCAAGTGCTAGAATCATAAGGATTCTCTGTCACGTACTGCATAAACCAAGAGTGCGGTATAAACCACCATATAGGTGTGCCACACTGGCATCCTTCATAATGTTCATGCTGAGCTGCAAGCAAGAGAGACTCTTCTTATACTGTTAACAGCAGAAACAGAGTTCTACTGTGGCTGATCCTTGCTGAACCAGCATTTTATTCCCACAGTGACTAACTAACTTGAGTTAGCATACCTGAATAAACTATGTCTCATCAGCAAATTTCAGAAATAATTTGCTCTTCAAATGGTCCTGCATATGCAGTTTAACTTTTAATTCCTGAACTGGTCCTCATAGGCTTGTTTGCGTAGTAATCTTCCCTGACAGAGAAAAATGTTGGCTGTGTCATTCATTAATTACTCTGTTGGACTTTACCTTAAAAAATCCTACAAGCTCCAATCACTTCACAGATCTACCATGTTTAAGATGTTCGTTTTGGTCATCTCAAAATTATATATTTACATAAAATAAAATAATTCCAAAAGTATAATCAGAGATGGAAATGTACTATTTCCGCTGGGAGGTTTTTATATGGCCATTTTAAATAAAAATAATAATAGGGATTTGATTATCATAAATGTCAATGGTATAATTAGCTTGTTTTGTTTATGCTTTTATAAATATTTCTCCAAGGATTAGAAAGCATGTTACAAACAAGAACAGTCACAAGGGTATTTTGTTACATCATTCATGCTACTTGGAAAACCAACATTGAAAACATTCATTAATATCTAGTCTTACATGGATAATACAGAATTTCCATGGGACCACACCATAAGATTTTGCTTTATTGAATCAGCAAATGCTACTTGTTAATAAGTATATCTGAAAACAAGGCTTGGCTCCAAACCAATTGAATAGTCAATCATTGTTTGAACTCTTTTTTTTTCTTTTTCTTTTTCACTATAAAAAGAAATATCATTTAGTTGCCATTAATAAAGAGGTAACTGGATGGTACTCTATCCCTAGAAAACCCAGGAAAGGGTCGTCATGTGTCAGAAATGGCTTGATGGCATGTAATTACTATTAATGAGTACAACAGGTAGAGAAATTCTGACTAGAGTCTGGAAAAGTTGCTTTTTCAATATTCCTAGCAAGAACTGTAGTCTAGAAAGAGAAATGTTTCTGAAGAAAACAGTTGTATTCATGCTCTTAACCAAAAGGGATAGAGCTGTTTTTCTTGTAGCACACTCTCACATGCTTTTAGGAGAGGCATTCTCTCGCACCTCTGGTTTTAACTCTTCCCCACCACTGAAAAATATGTTTAAAAAGTGTTCTTCCATTCTAGCTCACCTTCCACACAAGATAGCAGTATAAGAACATCCAGTCATCTTTTTAGTCTCTTAATATTTCATTCCACCCTGCAGCCACATATCTCAAAAAACTGCAACCAATAAAACATTTATTTTGACTCTCTTAGGGGCAAAAAGTTTCTTAGGGGGAAAAATCTATGGACTAAAATGTCAACTTTCAGCTCTGAAAACCAGCATGTCCCTCACCATTAAGATCCAAAGAAAAAGCAGTAAACTACCCTGGTCAAATTATTCTGGGAGATTTAAGATGTACTGTCATTATTTTAGACTGTTGCCTAAGAACATTAATCCCCAAAAAAAGGATCATGAGATGAACAGCCTCTAATGAAAAAAAGTACAGCAATAAAATTATTACTTGCCATAACATTTAATTGCGTTCTTTATTAAAAGCATTAATCTCACCTCAACTTCTTCTGACTGCATTAGGAGGTCACATGGTGGTTTCACCGCTTTCGGCCGGCTTGCCAGCCAATAGGCAACAACAGCAGCAAAGGCACCGATGCCTACCAAGGTAGTAGTTGGCAAACTTCGAAAAAACTGGCTGAAGTCTTCAAACTCAGGAAGGCGTAAATTCCGTAGGATCTCTTGAGCTTGCATCTTTTCAAAGACTGAAATGGCAACTTCTGCAGGATCCAAAGAAATTATGAATTAGTTGGATAGTCCCTAAAAACTATGAAACACAGATTTTTTTAACATAGAATGTTAATGATTAGCATAGAAAAATTCAACCAACGCTAATTACTTTCAATTTTGCTTTGTACTAACGTGTATATGTTTGAAGATACTTCAAAGTTCTACCTGGTGAGTAATTCTGCTTGCTTTTAATGCTCCACTATGCACATCTTTGAATTTATAAAAAAGAAAAGAAAGTTCCATAACTCCCATAATGCATAAATATGTGGCATATTTATAGTTCCTTGTGGTGTAAAATATGGTAGTATAAAGCAAAACTAAGGTGACATTAAAAGAAGAAATATGCATAATTCAGATCCTATAGAACAGCGGTCCCCAACCTTTTCGGGACTGCGGATGAGCTGATAAAGGTGGGGCACCCCCCACCATCATGCACACGTGCGAAGGAGTGCTCTCTCGCTCACACAGGCACACTCTTGGGCACATGCACGAAATGGTGGGAAGAGCGTGTGCCAGCGCGATCGCTCCCCCTACCCCTTCATGCATGCGCCGGAGCTCCTGCATGCCCCCGCGCACACACACTGCCCCTTCGCAAGGGCACTCAGGCACATGTGTGAAGGGGTGGCAGACTGCTCAACCGGTGCTGGCACGCATGGGCACTCAGGCGCATGTGTGAAGGGGTGGCAGACTGCTCACACCAGTGCTGGCACACATGCGCAAAGCAGTGGTGGGGGGAGTGTGTGAGGGGGTGCCTGGTCCGGCTCAGGCCACAGACTGACAATGGGCCGCAGACCGGGGTTTGACGACCTCTGCTATAGAAAACTTTGTGTCTGAATCACTTCAGACTGCACTCTCATGATGACTCAATGGAGAGGTGGGTGTGACTAAAACATACTCTAATCTTTAGTTATTAGATATTCCTTAGTTAGACATTCTTCTATTGTACCTTTTCGACAGTGAGCAGCGCCCATAGTTTTCCACAGTTATTTCCCTCAGCAACCCTATATGGTAGATTAGGCAGAAGGAAAATGATGGGCTTCAGGGCAGCCGGCTGAATAGTTTGGTAAGTTAGGTATCTGGCTGGGAAGCCAGAGGCTGTGAGTTCAGTTCCTCACTGTGCCTCCAGGGAGAACAGTCACCTTGGACAAGAGAATGGTAAACCAATTCTGAGTACTCTATACGAAAACCTGGGAAAAAGTCACCTGGGGAAAGTTAGATTTTTCTTAATGACACAGTATTGATTGATTGGTTGGTTGGTTTATTTCAGGGTCAACTAGTGAACTTCAAAGCTCAAAGAGAATTGAACTGAGATATCTTAAGTCACAATCCAGTCCACTATCCAGTAGATCACACTAGCTCTCTTCTCACTAGTTTCTTGACAGAACTTGTTTGCTGGCTAATACTTAGTGAAAGTTACTCCATTTAAGTTACTCCATTTACGTTCCATACCCATCAACTAAACAGTATGATTTTGGCCAACGGTTTTAACTCTTGCTTGTTTAATCGGTATTTCATGTTCTATTGATTATATTTGTTTCAATGTTGTAAACTGCCTTGAGCCACTTACACAGGGAGAAAGGCATGTCTGTCCATCCGTTCGTCCGTCTGTTTGTCTATCTGCCTACCTACCTACCTGGGAATGGAATTAATGGCCAAAATCCTGTTACACAGCTGCACTGTCGCAAGACGAATGATTATGTTAACAACAACAGCTTGCCACTGATGAAATAGTTTTGCTTTTTTGCTCTGCTCACACGCAATGAGACAAAGTTGCATATACCTTCAAACTGAAAAAGAAAGTCTTAATCAATGCCAGACTGCTACTGATAATGTTTTTGAAATGAACTCTGATAAATTTTATGCTTATAAATTAAATGCTTATATCTTTTTACAGAAAAGAATGTGCATGATGCAGAAAACAAACTTTTAAAAACATCATAATTATCCATTGTGAGCAGCAATTTCCATCTTTCTGTTACAGTAATTGTATATTCAGTGCCAGTGCTTCAGGAACTAGAGAAGCAAAAGAAAAGCAAAACCTTGTTTCCATTGGGAACAGCACTAACTGGAATGGGAACCTATTTATTCCTTTACAGGAAGAAAATGCTATTTGTTGTGCCAGAGATTGAAAGCACTCTCTTCAGAGAAAACCAAAAGGTGGCAAAGTATGAATAAGAAGTTAGCTTCCTGCGACAATCTTTAGGAACAAGAAAAAAAATCTCTTTCTGACTTTTAAAACAGAGTATCTTTTACAGCAATAAAGTTTGAAGCTTTTCACTGTCTGTTTGCCTTAATAAGCCTAACGTATCTGAGGGGCTTAGCTCAATAAGGCAAGTCACGATGAAAAATGACTCATTTTACAAGGTCATAATGTACTTTAAACCTATGTGTCACACAGAAACCGAATTCATCAGAAAATCCAAGAAGCCCCTGTGTTTCCCACTCAGTTTCTCTCTTCATCTTCCACTGCTTCCTTTTCCACTGCCATTTCTTCCTTCTATGCTTTTCATGCATCTAAGCCTACCACAATTTCTTTGTTCTGCAGACCTTGTTCCCCTGCAGTGCTTCCCTGCATCTTGCTTACTTGAGTCATTGCTGACTAACACAAGGACCCTTTCATAATCAATCCTTTTACCCCCATACTTCCTAGTGAATTCCAAGACCACACTCCTTAAAGCCACTGCAGGCTATCAGGCACTTCTCAGCAGCTTTGGTTATACATGTTTTCGAAATCCTTCCGTGTTTGGCTGAACAGCATGGAAGCTTGGTAAGTAACACCCTGTTGCCATGACAGTGTCTCTTTGTATTCAGAGCTACCCACTTTGATGCTTAGAGAAAAGCTGTGTTAGATACATCCTGTAACTGTGCGTTCAGACTACAGTATCTGTTACAACTGTGGTGGTAAAAAGCTTACTTGAAAGTAACAGCAAAGGATTCTGAAATGTCTTGCCATGCAGTCAGACTTTCAAATCAACCACATGTATCACGTCACAAGTTATGGCCTATTCAGACATACAGTCTGATACTAGAAAAAATGTACTCCATATCTTGTAGTCATCAAGTTGTGGGAGTTTCTTATTCTACATTCTGTGATTTGAAAATATGTTTCATTTACAGAGCTTGTATAATTTACTAGATTTTGGGAGTCCAAAAAATAACATTCCCTGACCAGATCTGTTTAATTTAGATGAGGCCTATACAACTTTGAAGGAAAAAGGCAGGGTAAAAATATTTTAAATAAATAAAATAATTAATAAATAAACTTGCGACCCACAAAAGAACAGCCATATAATTTGACTTGCTTGAAAAATATTTTGTTTTGCGTTCCCATATAGCTTGCAAAACTCCTTTATGTTAACCAACTTCTTGGTGGGCATATTACACATACACAGCCTTGATGGAGGAGAAGAAGTGGTATGGAAATATACTGTAACTACAAATATCACTTGAATAATTAGCACGAAAACAGAATGATGTGGTGGTTTTCTGGACCTGTCAGGAGGCTATATTTTTAATAAAAAATTTAATTAAAAGAGTCATGTATCACACCAGTGTTCAAAAAAGGAACCCATAATGAACCAGGCAACAGTCAATTAAACTAAAATGTAGTTTAAAATCCACTTGCTACTGCAATTGCTCACTAAAGTTCTGCTTCAATTACATTTAGGACTATAGCTGACCAAAACAAATACCAAGTGAATAGATCATTCACATTATAAGCAATCTATTAATGAATAGCAGTAGTCTTCATGCATTTTATTTTATATATCAATTACATGTACAGTACCTGCACCTATCAGTAAAGACCTATTCTAACAACACAGGGGTCATCTTTTGTTTATGCATTACAAAACAGTATTTTGTAACTATGTTTCTAGAACTATGAAATGAATATCATATTGTTTTTCCAATTTCCTCTGCTGAGTTGTATTAAAGACTCAAAGTACAACGGGCAATTAGAAAACAGATACATCCGTTTCTTAGCTTAGCAACTGCAGTATTTCCAGGAACGTCACACTTTTGATAAGTGATCTTTTGCTTTTGCTGAAGAAACTTAGGCTGCAATTATATATGCACACTTTCTGGCTCACTGCTTATTAAATACTCTCATAGCTTGCTCTGGATACTGGTCTCACTTTTCACTAAGTATAGAACTGGACCCTAACCTGAAATCCAATAAACAACTTACAAAAGGGGATTATTCAGGATCACAATGTAGACATTTAGCATTGTACAGTCATTCTGTGTTCTCTTCGACCAAAGATGTCAGATCACAAAACACTTCAGTCATTATTCTATTCAGTTCCCACTGAGTGGGAAATCTTGCCACTTGTGCAAGTGTTGCCATTGCACAAACGGAGGGCAGACTATATTCATGATCAAATCTTTACAAGGGCAAATGCTTGTGCAAGCAACACAAAAAGGTCATTACACACATCTGTGCTCAGCAAAAGGTCAACAGGTCATTGATCTTCAAGATAAATATACAAAATGTATCCCATCTCCCTCTGATTCCCTGTTTCCTCCTTTCCATCCCCCCTTCTCTTCCTTTCCAAATGCTAGCAAACTAGCTGCTCTTTTAAAAGGGTGAACTTTCAATGAAACCCATAAATATCATTCCTGACAGTGTCATAGAATGTGAGCATTTTGTACTAGCAAGGTAGCATGACACTATACCAAGGTACAATAGTAATGATAAATGTTAATTTTAATAAGTGGTTAACAAGCACCCCATGTTAAAAGAAAACAATATTTAAAAACCATAAACATATCATTCACCACTCTCAGCCATCTGAAGAGAATTTGTTTCCTAAACTCCTCCTGAACCTTTGAGGCATCTCCATGCTTCATGAGACAATCTTTTTGTCCTTCAAACCCTTCCTCAATACTCCTTCTAAGAAGCTTTAGAACATCCTCATCCTTACAAGGTACACTAATCCATACGGAAATGCAAATAACTGGAGTAAAACTTCTTTTTGTGCCCAGA